CCTTTTCTTCCTCTGTCTCCCATCCCCAGTTCCATTCTCCACTGTGGAACACAGTGTGGAGATACCTCAGAAATCTGAATACCTATATGAACATATTAAACAGCTATTCTATTTATGGGAAAAACAGAAATTATGGGATATGTAAATGACAGAATACTACATAGCAGTAAAAAAAAATGAAATCCAATCATTTGCAACAAAATGGATGAAACTGGAAAACATCATATTTAGTGAAATAAGCCAGTCCCAAAAAGAGAAATACCATGTTCTCCCTGACCTGTGTTAACTAATAGAGCACATAAAAGGCAATCTATATACTGTGGCAAAAATTGGCCTACATGAAAGATGAAATCCCCGTGGAAAGAACGGGCCATCAAAGAAGGAGGTACCTTTCTCTGAAGGGAGGAGAGAACTTCCACTTTGATTGTGGCCCTGTCTAAATACTGTCAGAGTTTGTGGACTCAAAAGGCTTCCACAGCCATGGCAGCTCATGACAAGAGCCTTGGGTGATCACTGACATCATGAATAAGAGTGTCAATTGTTAAATCAACAACAGGAGTCACTGTGCACTTGCTCCCCATGTAGGACCTCTGTCCTCAATGAGTTGTACTATTAGAATTAATGGTAAAACTTGTCTTCAAACAGTACTTTATGCTTTGTGTGTTGTGTGGGTGCAAACTGTTGAATATTTACTTAGTATAGAGTTGATCTATATATAAAGATATTTAAAATGAATCTTAATGAAGAATGTGATGGGAAAGGGAGTAGGAGGTGGGATGGGAGTGGGCGTGGAAGGGCAGGTATGGGGGGGAAGAACCACTATATTCTAGAAGATGTACCTATGAAATTTATATTTATTAAATAAAAGCTTTCTTAAAAACTATATTAAAAAAAAGGCAATCTATAGAAGTGTAATTGATACTTTGAGAAGCAATGACTTTGAACAACCCTTGTCTCGACTGTTGAGGAACAGTTTTTTTTCATGCTATTTGTTGAACACTTTACTTCACAGTTAATCTTATGTGAACCAAGTTAATTGAAAATAGATCTTAGTAAAAAAATAAGAATGGGAATAGGAGACGGAGGAGGAAGAGTGATGGAAGAGTGGGTGGGAGGGTAGGAACAGTGGGAAGAATCACCATGTTCCTAAAGTTGAAATTATGAAATTTATAAAGTTTGTATTCCTTAAATAAAAGATTTTTTTGGATGGAAAAATAAAGTACTTGAGCCATAAAGAAAATTTAAAAAAAAAATTTAAATAAAAAAGATGAAAGGTTAATGAGTGCTGGCAAAAACATGGAAAGAAAGGGAACCCTTATGCACTGTTGGTGAGAATGTAAATTAATACAGCCATTACTGAAAAGAGTATAGAGGCTCCTCAACAGATCAAAAATAGAACTACTATACCATCCAGTATTCCTATTACTAAGTATGTATCCAGAGGATACAAGGTTACTATGTCAAAAATGTGTCTGTACTTCCATGTTCACCATGGCATTATTCAAAGAGCTTGGACAGAAGAAACTATAAGGAAAAAAAAAGATGAGCTGCATGGATGACTTATCTAGGATACCCAAACTCAGAATTACTGAATTTTTGGATGAGAGAACAACATATGGTAAGTCAAGCAATGAGCAAGGAAATGATAGGGATCCTTTAGCTGAAGAAAGCCTGGAGTACTGAGATGGAAAGGCCTCCCTAATTTTTAAGCAAAAATACAAAAAAATGCACACAATGATATTCACTCAGACACATATGCTGATGATCTTAATTCAGATTTTTAGGTAAAAAACTATTCCATATACAATACAGAGTTAACTAATTAAAAACTGGTATCAGAGAAGTAAGCTTTCTTGTTTTCAACAGTAAATGAAAGAGAAAAGAAGTATTTTCAGACTCCTACAGAGAAAATGGCATGACTAATTTTATATCCAGGCATTACTTGTATTAAAGGTAAAAAACTTGTAGATATATATGTATTCAGAAAGTATACCACTGTATAAAGGTGGGAAATGTAATTAAGAAAATAATCTCAACAAATACCAAAATTTTTAAAAATTTAAATTCAGGGCCGGCGCCATAGCTCATTTGGATTTAATCCTCCACCTGCAGCACCAGCATCCCATATGGGTGCTGGGTTCTAGTCCCGGCTGCTCCTCTTCCAGTCCAGCTCTCTGCTGTGGCCCAGGAGGGCAGTGAAAGATGGCCCAAGTGCTTGGACCCCTGTACCTGCATGGGAGACCAGGAAGAATCACCTGGCTCCTGGCTTCAGATCAGTGCAACGCCAGCCCTAATGGCCATTAGGGGAGTGAACCAACGGAAGGAAGACCTTTCTCTCTGTCTCTTTCACTGTCTATAACTCTACTTGTCAAATAAATTTTTTAAAAAAATTTAATTCAAGAAATATGAAGGTGTACACAAGAAACGGGTGAACAATTAAATCCATAAGACTGATCATAAGACTGTTGTTGATAATGTGACTAGAAACTTAATGCCTTTGTTAAACGATACTTAAAACAGAAAAGGCTAGTATATTGAAATAGTATCACCTATAATTAAAATTGCATACAATTTCAACAAAACCTAAAGGTACATAGAAAAATAGGATACAGGGGAAGCAACTGTGGCATAGTGGGTAAAGCCACTGCCTGCAGTGCCAGCATTACATATGGGCACTAGTTCTTCTACCTGCTCCACTTCCGATCCAGCTCTTTGCTATAGCCTGGGAAAACAGAAGACGGCCCAAGTTCTTGGGCCCCTGCACCTGCGTGGGAAACCTGGAAGAAACTCGTGGCTTCGGATCAGCCCATCTCTAGCAGTTGCGGCCATTGGGGAGTGAACAAGTGGGTGGAAGATCTCTTTCTGTCTAGCTCTCTAACTATGCCTTTCAAATAAAAACTAAATCTTGAAAAAAAAAATGCCTAGAACTAAGTGTTTTTCACATCTTGGGATACAAGGTCACAGTACAAAAAATAAATATTTCTACATAGTAGCAACAATTAAAAATTTTTAAATAACTCTTGATATCATAAAAATATGAACTCAGAAATAAATTTAGAAAACATGAGCGGGCCAGCGCCGCGGCTCACTAGGCTAATCCTCCACCTTGTGGTGCCGGCACACAGGGTTCTAGTCCTGATCGGGGCGCCGGATTCTGTCCTGGTTGCCCCTCTTCCAGGCCAGCTCTCTGCTGTGGCCAGGGAGTGCAGTGGAGGATGGCCCAAGTGCTTGGGCCCTGCACCCCATGGGAGACCAGGATAAGTACCTGGCTCCTGCCATCGGATCAGCGCGGTATGCCAGCCGCAGCGCGCCGGCCACAGCCGCCATTGGAGGGTGAACCAACGGCAAAGGAAGACCTTTCTCTCTGTCTCTCTCTCTCACTGTCCACTCTGCCTGTCAAAAAAAGTAAAAAAAAAAATAATAATTAAAAAATAAATAAATAAATAAATAAAATGAAAACATGAGCAAGACCCACAAACCAAAAACTACAAAACACTGCTGAGAAATTGTAACAGATCTAAATAGAGTTAACATGTCCATGGATTAGAAGTTCCAATACTGTTACAATTTAGTTCTTCTGTATTGATCTAAAGAATCAATGTAATAAATAGTAATCAAACTTCCATAAAGGTTTACAGTATAAAAACTGACACATTCATTAAAAACACATATGAGGGGCTGGCGCCACAGCGCACTAGGTTAATCCTCCACTTGCAGTGCCGGCATCCCATATGGGTGCCGGTTCTAGTCCCGGTTGCTCCTCTTCCAGTCCAGCTCTCTGCTGTGGCCTGGGAAGGCAGTGAAGGATGGCCCAAGTGCTTGGGCCCCTGCACCTGTATGGGAGACCAGGAAGAAGCACCTGGCTCCTGGGTTTGGATCAGCATAGCTCCAGCCGTTGTGGCCATTTGGGGAGTGAACCAACGGAAGGAAGACCTTTCTCTCTGTCTCTCTCTCTCTCTCTTACAGTCTGTAACTCTGTCAAATAAATAAATAAAATCTTTGAAAAAAGAAAAAGAAACATATATGAGGGGTAGGCATTTGGCACAGTGGTTAAGCTGTCCCTTAGGATGGTCATGTCCCATATCAGAGTGCTTAAGTTCAAGTCCTAGCTCTGCACTCCATTTCAGCTTCATGCTAATGCACACCCTGAGAGGCAGGAGGCAATGGTTCAAGGATTTAGGTGCCTGCCACCCAAGTGAGAAACCCAGATTGAGTTCTGGGCTCCTGGCTTTGGCCAGCTCCAGCCTGGCTATTGCTCATTCATTCCCCAAGTGTCTGCAGATGGGAGATCTCTTAAATAAATAAAAATAAAAAAGTTTTAAAAGAATATGCACTACCTGACATCCAGATATATTAGAAAGACACAGTAATAAAGACTATGTAGTACTGGTATAAGTGTAGAGATATACATCATTTTCTAATAAAGGTTAATATACACTTACTATAAAACCCAGAAATCTCTCTTACGGGTATATCCCTAAAAGAAACATTATCCAAACAAAGACCTGTATGCCAAAGTTCATAGCAGCTTGATTCATAATGGCTCAAAACTAGAAATAATCCAAGTATTCCTCAACTGGTGAATGAATAAACAAATCACGGTATGTCCATATAGTACTTACTCATCAATAATAATAATAAAAAAAGAATAGTGATACATTCAACAACACACACAATTCTCAAAAGCATTATGCCAAATAAAAGAAGCCAGAAACTACACAGCATATACAGTACACAGAAATACCACAGGGACAATACAGCAATTTAGCTGCTGTCTGGGGTGGGAGGTGCGATTAACTACAGAGAAGAAAAACCTTCTGGAGCAGTAGAAATATTCTTTATCAAGATGGTAGTGTGATTACACAACCACACAGATTTGTCAACAGTCATCCAACTATACCTTTAAAATTGGTGAATATTACACATTTTGCCTCAGTAATAAAGCTGACTTTTCTTTTCTGGAACTACAGCTACTACAGAAATGAAAAGACATTCTTTACCTTCCCAGTCCTCCATGTATGGGGCCTCCTCTGCTTCTTTTTCTGGAGTGGGTCTGTCAATGAATTTTCCTTCTTTCATGACCCTGGTGATTTCTCGGAGCTGATGTAGCAATCGTTTCTCTTGGTCAGAAGTCACAGTCTGTGCTCTGCTTAGAAATATCAGACAGTCCAGCTATTTAGCAGTAACTACTCCTAGGCTATAGGCAGAAACATCCCTATGATCTGTCTGGATCCTAGAATAGCAGTCCAAAACCAGCAGATACTTATTCTAGAAATCAATCCTGGCTCTACACACTTGGAACTGGACATGCTAGTTTGATGTTTTGATTTTACATATGAGAAAACTGAGACCCAGAATAGATCAAGTGATTGCCCAATGTCCCACAATGACTTCCTATCAATACTGGGATCAGATCCTACATTTCTCAGCTTTCAGTTCAGTGTCTTTTAGTATCCTTCTCTGCCATGATTCTCTTATCTCTGAGCAATTTCACTCTCATTACTCTAGTCATTCCATTTTACTACAAACCACTTTTCTCTGAAACCAGATCCTCAAAGGAAAATGTTCTGGGCCATTATCCTCAACCACAGAAAGATAAGTTACTAGAATCACCATGGTGAATCTACCACTCAGGAATGGGGATATGTTCTAAAATTTCAGGGCTAGATAATTATTCAAGTTCCATCACCTATACCAGGGAAACTGGGAAAACTGAAGTTCACAGAAGAGAAATTACAAATGCATTCATGTTATCATTACTGGCAGCACTATTACCAAAGCTAAGGTCCCTGACTTCTGATAGCATTCTGTGCTACTCTTGAAGCACAGAGCTCAAGTTTCACAGTTTACAAAACCTGCTATGAGTCCCAACTTAACTATGCTGCTCTGGGAGAATGCCTGCAAAAAAAAAATAATAACATGAGGCTCAAGTAGTATGTAAAGTTTCTGTGAGAGGGAAGCAATGCACCACATGATAAACAGACAAGACCCTACTTAGACGACTGAACTATCTGCTTTGAAACAAGTTTTTATCTAGGAGCTACTTAGTTTCTTTGCAATACCCAGAGTGTTCTGGTTGATATAAGCTTAACATTCCTGAAGGAAAACCACCCTCATGGAAGTGCCTTCTATTTTTGTAATTGGCCAGTTCTGCACCTGCATTACTTTTTGTACTCAGCTTAACAAATGTTATCCTTAATCACTAACAGGGAGAAAGAAAAAAAGTATTTCATTTCCCAACCTTAAGATGGCATCTGAGGGGCCGGTGTTGTGGCGCAGTGGGTTAAAGCTTTCTGCTAATGTACGTGGGAAGACACAGGCAGCTCAAGTACTTGAGCCTGGGCCACCCATGTGGGAGACCAGAATGGAGTTTCTGGCTTCTGACTTCAGCATGGTCCAGCCCTAGCTGTTGTGGCCATTTGAGGAGTGAACCAGCAGATGAAAGATCAACTGATATCTGTCTCTTTTCAAATATATATATATATTTTTTTAATAATAAATTAAGCAGGGAAATTAAAGCCATAAATGATAAAACCATGGTTAATATACTGAATGGAATAAAGCTGAAAGCATTTCCTCTAAGATCTGGAACAAAATGAAGGTGCCCACTTTTACCACTCTTATTCAAAAAGTTGTGGAAATCCTAGCCAGAGAATCAGACAAGAGAGGGAAATAAAGGGCAAGCAAATGGAAGCCAAACCATTCATGTCTGCACATGGCATGGTCTAATATATAGAAAAATCTGAAGATTCCACAAAGAAAACTGTTAAACTGATCAATAGCTACAATAAAATTATAGGACACAGATCAACATAGAAAAAGCAGTAGCATTTCTCTGCAATAGCAACAAACTGAAAAAGAAATCAAGAAAGCCATCCCATTTAAAACAGCTACAAAAAAAATCAAGGAGTAAATTTAACCAACAAGGTAAGAGAAGCCTATAATGAAAATTATAAAATACTGATGAAAGAAACTGAAGGGAACACACACAGAAAAATGCAAAGAAATTCTGTGTTCACAGATTAGAAGAATTAATACTATTAAAATACTCCTACTATCCAAAGTGATCCACAGATTCAAAATAACTCCTATCCAAAAAACAGTGACATTCATCACAGAAATATAAAAATATTCCTAAAGTCCATACAGAACCATGAAATAACTAGGACAGCCAAAGTTATCCTGAGCAAAAATAAAAAAGCTGGAACTTACAATATCTGACTTCAAAACGTACTACAAAGTTAAAGTAATCAAAACAGCATGGTACCAGCATAAGAACTGACACACAGACCAATAAGACATAACAGAGAACCCAGGAAAAATTCCACATATTTTACACCATTGCTGGGAATACAAATTAGCACAGCTATTATGAAAAACAATATGGAGGTTTCCGGCATTGTGGCACAGTAGGTTAATGCCTGTAATGTTAGAGTGCCAATTTGACTCCTGGCTGCCCACTTCCAATTCAGCTTCCTGCTAATATGCCTGGGAGAGACGATGAACCAAGTACTTGGAGCCCTGCCACCCACATGGATGAGATCTGGAAGGAGTTCCTGGCTCCTGACTTCAGCCTGGACCAGCTCTGGTCATCACGGCTATTTGGAGAGTGAACTAGTGGGTGGGAAGATCTCAATGTGTCTGTCTCTGTCCCTGTCTGTGTCACTCAGACTTCCAAATAAATTAAGTAAATCTTTAAAAAGAGTAGCCATATGATCCGGCAACCACATTACTGGGTATATATCCAAAGCAAATCAGGATGACAAAGATATTTTGTATTCCCATGTTTTACTCAGCACTATTCAGAATAACCAAGATATGAAATTAACCTAAATGTTCAAACATGAATGGATAAAGAGAAATGTGATACACACACACACACACACACACACCCCAAAAACCAAGAAGAAAATCTTGTCATTTGTAGCAACATGGATAAACCTGGAGGATAAGTGAAGGCAGGCACAGAAAGACAAAGATTGCATGTTCTCACTTATAATGTAGAAGCTAAAAAAGTTTCTCTCTCAAAAGTAGGGAGAATCATGGTTACCAGAGGCTGGGAAGAGATGAAGGGAGGAGGGAGAGAGAATAAACAGGTACAAGGGCACAGCTGGACAGGAGGAATAACCTCTCATGACTCATGTAGCACAGTAGGGTAACTATGGTTAATAACAATTTATTGATTAGTTCAAAAGAGCTGGCAGAGAAAAATTTTGGATGCTCCCAACACAAAGAAATAATAAATATTTGAGGTACTAGACATGACAATTTTCCTGACCTGAATATTACATGAGTATACATGTACTGAATACCATATTATATCCCCTAAATATATACAATTAATATGTGTCAATTAAAGGCAAAACAATTTAAAACAGGCCTTTTAGATAGCTAGGAAATTATCTTCCTTAAAATCCAATTACTTCACTCTGATGGTTTAAAACCATCAGTTACTTCACTCTGATGGTTTACTCATTGATTTACTCCCTCACAATAATTTGTACCACACTAAATTCTTGAATATTCAGGTTGTTGGATAGATTGAAAATATGTGAGGGGCCAGCACTGTGGCATAGTGGGTAAAGCCATTACCTGTAGTGCCACATTCCATCTGGGCACTCTTTGGAGTCCCAGCTGCTCCACTTTCGATCCAGCTAACTCCTACTGTGCCTGGGAAAGCAGCAGAAGATGGATCCCTGAACACATGTGAGAGACCTAGAAGAAGCTCCTGGTCCTGGCTTCAGAACAGCCCAGCTCTGGCCGTTGCAGCCATTTGGGGAATGAACCAGCAGATGGAAGATTTCTCTGTCTCTCCCTCTCTAACTCTGTCTTTCAAAGAAATAAATCTTTTTTAAAAAATGTTAAATGAGAAAAAAAACATGTAAATGACAAGTAGACAATTACATAAAATTAAAACAAGTAGTGTATGCATCAAATAAAAATAACATTTTGAATTAATTCTCTAAATGAGAAACAGTCTTGATTTTGGTTAGAAGAAACCTACCTCTCACCATTAGGTCCCACCCTGTTGATTAATTTTTCCATGGCTTCCTCTGTCTCCTTCAATTTTTCTTGCAGTTGAACAAGCTCAAAATTGGCTGAAAAAAAAAATACAAAGCATCACTGTAAGAAACCATTATACACAACTCCTAGTCCCTTTAATGAAACAGATCTGGCTACGACTCTAAAATAATCCAGACTGGGCCTGAGACTCAAGGGAAAAGAATGAATCTCTCCAGTTTACCCAGTTGGGACAAAAAGAGTACAGAATCTGGGCACCAGTATCTACAGGATAATGACTGATGCATAAATCAGCCCCTTTTACATACAGAAATACAGCAGGACAAACTAAAGAAAACAGGAGTGAAAACATACCCCTGCACAGCCACCCAAGAAGACAAGCAGAGGGTAAACCAAAATTACACTTCAGAGTAAAACATCAAATCTATAAGGTACTGTTTATAACAGAAGTTAAGACCCTGAAATAAGCAATATTTTATCTGCACCTAAGGTTTGCAAACGCATCTGCAAGTTAAAAGCTTAAAAGTTATACTGTGGCCGGTGCTGTGGCGTAGCGGGTAAAGCCGCTGCCTGCAGTGCTGGCGTCCTATATGGGCACTGGTTCGAGTCCCGACTGCTCCACTTCCAATCCAGCTCTCTGCTATGGCCTGGGAAAGCAGTAGAAGATGGCCCAAGTCCTTGGGCCCCTACACCTGCATGGGAGACCCGGAAGAAGCTTCTGGCCCCTGGCTTCAGATCGGTGCAGCTCTAGCCATTGCGGTCAATTGGGGATTGAACCAGTGGATGGAAGACTGACTTCTCCTTCTCTCTCTCTCTCTCTCTCTCTGCGGTCAATTGGGGATTGAACCAGTGGATGGAAGACTGACTTCTCCTTCTCTCTCTCTCTCTCTCTCTCTCTCTCTCTCTCTGCCTCTCCTCTCTATTACTCTGCCTTTCAAATAAATATAAATCTTTAAAAAAAAAAAAAAGTTATACTGTGAGGCTGGCACTGTGGCGTAATGGCTAAGCCTTCACCAGTGATGCCAGCATCCCAAATGGGCTCCAGTTCATGTCCCGACTGCTCCTCTTCCAATCTAGCTTCCTGTTTATGGCCTGGGAAAGCAGTGGAAGGTGGCCCAACTTCTTGGGCCCCTGTACCCACATAAGAGACCCAGAAGAAGCTCCCTTGTCCCTGGATTCAGACTGGCTCAGCTCTGGTCATTGTGGCCACTTGGAGAGTGAGCCAGCAATTGAAGACCTTTCTCTCTGTCTCTCCCTCTCTCTGTCTGTAACTCTACCTCTCAAATAAATAAAAATCTTTTTAAAAAACTTCTTCAATAGAGGAAGTCTTGCACTGGGGCTTGGAGCTCCCTGCCAAAAGTTTTCTACCTTGACTGTCTGAGTTTAAAGAGGAGGCCATGTCAGAATCTGTCTCCCAGAGGGTTCCTCAACTGGGGTCACTAGAGATGACACAGATCTATTAAAGTGATACTAAAACTCTAAAAGTAGAACAGAAAAAAAAATCAATAAATGACATGAGTTTTAGGATAGTAGGAAATAAACTGCTGTCCATTATGTAGACAATGAAGTTTTTCTATTTCATACCCAAGTACTCTTCCACTCAGATGATACAGTTAGAGGGTCACCATAAAATGTAATATTTCAAATGCCTTTCAGTACTTCTAGGACAAACTCTCACACATGCAGTTGACATCTGCAAAGTGTCTGGGGGATTGTGCTACATAAGTGTTAGGTTATTTTTATCTTCCACATGCGTTAAGACTGAAGAAGAGGCTGATAAAATTGTTCTTACCATTACTATGAAACAGCTGCTCTCAAAATTTTATTTACTTCTTTTGTTTCAAACACATTACATAACAGAATTTGCTGTTCTTTAAAGAGTCAATAAAATTTTTAAAAATTATTTTACTGATATACTTCCCATCACTTTCTTAGAAGATTTCTTGAATATTTAAGATTTCCAGAAAGGACGCAGAACATGACTAGGATATTTATTTCCATAGAGAATCCAGGAGTAAATCCAAAAAAGCAGCTATGGCCTGGGGCAGACACTTTGGTAGCTCGGCCTCACTTCTCTTTAACATCCTCTGGTTAGGCTTCATTATCCGCAACACAAAGCAGCAATCCAGCCTTAACCTATTCGTCCCTTCTTTCCCACAGCTGCTCTAAATGAACACCCTAAGACCTCCACAAGCTCAAGACCTCTTGCTTGTCCGTGTCTTATTCAAGCTACCTCATGGAAAATGGAATTAAAATATGAGTTTATTTTGATATAAACCTTTGAAATTCATGCCTAGTTTTTTCATGATGTGCATTTCTATGAAATTTTTGAAGACTCCTTGTAGGCATATCTTTCAAAAATTTTGAACCAAAATGAACTTATTTGTGAATTCCACTTTCCACAGCTGTCCTATCTTCTAGGCCTTCCTCCATGGCCACGCAGACAGATGTGATTTCCCATAATTCTTTTGCATAATCCTTCTTTCTAGGCAATCGACTTTTCAGTTCTTTTTCCTGACATCCATTCTAGTCTACATATTCTTAGAGGGGAAAAAAAAAGTCATACTGTATTTCATTTCCCCAGAGAGCACGGAACATTCTAGTTGGGCAATAAATATTTGATGACCATGTTTAAAGAAAAGTGGGTAAAGTGGCAGAGGATGTCCCATGTGCTTGGGTCCCTGCCACTCACATGGGAAACCCAGAGGAGATTCTTGGCTCCTGGTTTCGGCTGGGCCCAGCCCTGGCTGTTGCAGACATCTAGGGAGTGAACCAGTGAATGGAAGATCCTTCTCTCTTAGTCTCTCCCTCTCCCTATGACTCCTTCAAATAAAAATAAATAAATCTTTAAAAAAAAAAAAAAAAGGCCAGCTCTGTGGTGTAGTGGGTTAGGCCTCCACCTGTGGTGCTGGAATCCCATATGGTGGTACCAGTTCATGTCCCGGCTGCTCCACTTCTTTTCCAGCTCTCTGCTGTGGCCTGCAAAAGCAGTGGAAGATGGCCCAAGTCCTTGGGCCCCTGCACCCACATGGGAGACCAGGAAGAAGCACCTGGCTCCTGGCTTTGGATCAGCTCAGCTGTGGCCATTGAGGCCCTCTGGGGAGTGAACCAGTGGATGGAAGACTGCCTCTGCCTCTCTCTGTAACTCTACCTCTCAAATAAATCTATAAAAAATCTTAAGACGAGCTCAATCCCATCAAGATTGCATGTACCAATGCCATCTCACTAGTCCAAGTGATCAATTTCAGTTCACAATTGATCTCACTGATAGATCTAAGAGTCAAAGAGATCACACAAACAAGACTAGTGTCTGCTAATACTAATAGAATAAAAAAGGGAGAGAACGATCCAACATGGGAAGCTGGATACACAGCAGACTCATAGAATGGCAGATGTCCTAAACAGCGCTCTGGCCTCAGAATCAGCCCTGAAGGCATTCGGATCTGGCTGAAGAACCCATGAGAGTATTTTAGGCATGGAAAGCCAAGACACTCTGGAAAAAAAAAAAAAAAACAACAACAACAACAACAACAACAACAAAAACCCTAAATGAAAGATCTCTATGAGTGAGATCCCAGCAGAAAGAATGGGCCATCAAAGAAGGAGGTATCTTTCTCTGAAGGGAGGAGAGAACTTCCACTTTGACTATGACCTTGTCTAAATAAGATCAAAGTCAGTGAACTCAAGAGGCTTCCATAGCCTTGGCAACTCATGACTAGAGCCTAGGGAGATTTCTGATGCCATAACCAAGAGTGTCAAATTGTTAAGTCAACAACAGGAGTCACTGTGTACTTACTCCTCATGTGGGATCTCTGTCCTTAATGTGTTGTCCAATGTGAATTAATGCTATAACTAGTACTCAAATAGTATTTTACACTTTATGTTCTGTGTAGGTGCAAACTGATGAAATCTTAATAAATACTAAATAGATCTTCTGTATATAAAGATAATTGAAAATGAATCTTGATGTGAATGGAATGGGAGAGGGAGCGGGAGATGGGAGGGGTGGGGGTAGAAGGGAAGTTATGGGGGGGAATAGCCATTATAATCCATAAACTGTACTTTGGAAAATTATATTTACAAAATAAAAGTTTAAAAAAAAAGAAAAAGAAGAGCGAGCCCAAAGTATTAAATTTTTGTACTAGATCTAATAACTGACTTGGCAATAGACAGATACCTCTCCCTCAGTTTTCCTCTCTGTCAAACAAAGATACTTGCTACATTTTAGAGTCTAGAAATGGGGCTCATTCCAAAAGCGAACTACTTTTTGTAGCTATTTTACCCTTTGTGTAGCTATTGTTCCCTTAAAAGTTCAAGATAATCTGGGAACTTTTGAGAATCCCAGAGCTAAGGTTAATAATGCCATCAGATTAGTCTGTAGCAACTTTTGAGCAATGCTCTTGGGACATACCAAGAGATGGAACCTCTGGCTGTATTACAACTATCTGACTCAGTAACACTTGTGAAAGCAGTGAGAAGCGACACTTACTAATTTTCCTGTGGCTGTTTCCAGCTGAGGCAGGAGAACATTTACGATCCTCTGCAGTAGTTTTTCCCTTAGAGAGCTGAGAATTGAAGGAGGTACAGCACATCAACAGCAGCTCAGAACCTCAAAGTCATGGAACCCTCATATTAAATGGGGGGAAAAAGTTGGGAGACAATTAAGTCAGAAACCAAAGCAAATAGCAACATCAGAGAAATGTCTCAAAAAATAAACAAAGCCACTGAAAGATGAGAAGTCTTCCAAGTTAAAAAGTATATATATACACATATACATATATACATACATATACATATACATGCATATATATATACATATATATATCAAGGTACAAGGAATAAAATATCTCCCTTGGATCATCTGCCTTGTCCATGCTCATCCAAAAGGATGTATAGTATTTTTGTAGGCTGCAGAATTCCCAGGCAAGAAGGAACATCTTACCTAACCTTACACAAGTCAGGAGTGCAAAGTGACGTTTCTGCCTCTACTTTATAGTGCATAGGCCCACAGCCTACAACTGATCTCATGGTGATGGAACTTAACTGGGAGTCTGCTTTGAAAGGACCCCAACACATCTCCCTAGAGCTAGGAAACAACAGGCTTAGTTTCAGACAGTTCTGTCTCAGGAGAATTAATGGAGATATTAAAGACAGCATCTCATATTCCTACGGGGAATAAAGGATGAAGCAGTGTTGGTAAGGGCATTGGTATATGGACTCAGAGTGGCTACTTAGAAGTCACTGTGTAAATCCTAATAATAAACTTCTTCTTAGGACATCTTTATGCTTTTCAGCTTGCAAGGATACTCTGTTAAAAAAAAATTTTTTTTAACTTTGAATTACATTTCTTATAGGAACTGGAAAATCCAGGTTCAAGTCCAGGTTCTGCCTTTTCAGTTGTGAATTCTGGTGCAAATCACTTAAATTCTGAGCCCAGATTTCTCATTTGTAAAACTGAAAATAATGGCTATCCTAAATGCCTCACAAAGAGGAGCCAAGCTTTAAAGAGGTGACAGATTTAAAAGTGCTTTATGAACTGTAAAGGGTTTTAATGTAGACAATGATTTTTATTGTGATCATTTTAGATTTCCACTGATATAATATGATTAAAATGATTCCACTTACCTTAAACAGAATGTACAGTATATATAAAAAAATTCCAAAACCATAGATTGGAATAATCTGCCCCATGAGGCCTCTTCCACTACCTCCTCCTCCAGTGCCTCCGGATCCTTTGGCCTTTGCAAATGCCTCCGCAAGGTGAGACCTCTGGAAACGAGCCCCAGGGGTTTGGCCATCTGAAGGTGCCTGGTGATGATGCATCATAGGAGGAAATCGGCCCAACTTTCCTGAGAAAATAAATGATTCTGTCTTTATCCTTCCATTATCTTATCATGAAAACAGCTCATGCTTTGGAGTACAAACAACAGAAGCCAACTCAAACAGGTTTAAGAAAAAACGGGAATTTCATTAAAAAGGTACAGAAGTATCACACATTTACTAAATATAATGTGGTAACTAGCTACTCACCAAACCCATTTCCTCTTCCTTCTGGGTCCACAGCTAAATCACATTTTTCAGTCCCTCACAGAGTTAAACTTGGTCATATGACTGAATTCCAGCCAAAGCAATGTGAATGACTGTGCTAGTTCAAGGTCTGGCCTATAAAATCTCCCATGTGTTCAGTCCACGGTTACTACCTTTCTGCAGGACGAATGCTGATATCCAGGGAGACCTTGGAGGCAACGTGTGGAAAATGGCAGAGCCTCTGTGAACCTGAGTTCCTGGATAACCATGCGGCACAGAGCCCTCCACTGCTGCCACCCACTGACTCAGAGCCATCTGGACCTGTTTCTATGAATGAGAAATAAACTTCCATTGTGGTAGGGCCATTATACACATCAGAGTCTATATGCTAAAGCTGTTAGCCACCCCTAAATAGTACAGATAAGGAAATGCAATGTGGTCTCAGGAGAGAATAGAACCAGAAACTGGAAAGCCATGAAGACCCAGGACTGCGAGTTTCACATCCTAGCTCAATCTCTCTCCATGGGGCCATTAGACTTTTTTCTTTGTTCCTCCGTGCATATCTTCTTCATTCTCCTCTGTGGATCGTTTCTCTAGCTTCTTTGTGCACACAGAAGATGGTCACTCCCAAAGCTCCTAATTTGTAAGCTGAGACAGGTCTTTATTCCAAATTCCTTAGAGGAAGACTGAGTATTTAGTGTTGGTAAGTATTCATCCCTTTCCAATCAGCTACAGCTGAGCAGAGTGGCTACATAAAGAAAACAGGGTCAAAGGACCCAAGCTTTTAAGCAAAAGGGCAGGGCTTAGAGAAAAATTCATTTTCTTGGATTGTTTTCCCTCCATTAAGAGGAACTGAAAATTAACACCTCAAGCCTCCTGAGGGCCAAAGTGAGACAGAAAGGAAAAATATCTCTTTCAAAGGTCATGTCAATAGGCTTGTGGGGAAAACTCACTCAGAGATAACAGTATAAAGAATAGAAAGACGTCATAAGACACTAAAAGGTAGACCATCACTGTGGTGCTGTGGTATAGCGGGTAAAGCTGCCACCATAGTCACTAGCATTTCATGTGGGCACCAGGTCTAGTCCAAGCTGCTCCACATCCGATCCAGCTTCCTGCTAGTGTGCCTGGGAGAGCAGCAGAAGATGGACCAAGTGTTTGGGCCCATGCACCCATGTGGGAGACCCAGAAAAGGCTCCTAGCTCCTGGCTATGGATCAGCCCTGCTCCGGCTGATTTGGGGGATAAACCAGCAGATGGAAGATCTCTTTCTGCCTCTCCTTCTCTAACTCCTTCTTTCAAATAAATGAATAAGTCTTTGAAAAAAGATACTAAAAGGATAAACTATAAAGTACATCATTGCTAGACTTTAGTAAAATCAGGGATTTATGTTCAATAAATACCAAGAAGAGAATTAAGAGAGATGACAGGTAAGGGAAATATTTGCAATATCTGAAAGTGACAAGGGATTAAGTATCTGTAACGTAGAAGGGGAGTCTATAATTCAGTATAAGCATCCTAGAGAATCCATCAGAAAATGGGTGAATGAGTAGGGAACTTGGAGAAAGAGAAATCTAAACGGCAAACTATATAAAGAGATTATTAAAATTCAAGTAAAACCAATGAGCAAAATACAAATGAAAATCACAAGACATCACATTATTCCCATCAGAAAGGCAAAAATAATGGTACGGGCTGGCAATGATATGGGGGAGATAGACTTTTCATGCACCAGAGGTAAGCATGCAAAATGATACAGCCATTCTGCTAAGCGATCTGCCTGTATCTAGTGACATTACGTTATGAACAGGCCCTGTGATCTGATGATCCCCCCCCGCCACACACACACACTTTACAGTCTTGTGTGATAATGACACCAAGCCTTCATCCCTAATACCTTTATTTTGTTCCTTAACTTGCAGTTCCTCTGCAATAATTAAAGCCAAAACCTAAAACCTGAATTATGAAGACTCTCATTGGCCCTGTAGTTAACATTTCAGTTTCGGCCTCTACTGTGAAAGCTTTGCAAGAAATCATGAGCCCTGATCAAAGTAATACCCTAGCTACCATTAGACCTATACATATTGGAGCTCATATTTGCCAGTCCAAAGGAAACATGATGGCCCCACCACTGACCAAAGGCAGGCCACATTTACTGCAAACCAACCACAGGCTCACACACTGCTCATCCCCAACTTTAATTCAATACCTTTAATCCTTCAGGGAGTCTGGGAATTGAACATTAGCTACCTGACTCCTTACTCTTTGCTTAGCAATGAATACCAACTTTTTCTACCACCCCAGTGTCAGTGATTGGCTTGCTGTGTGGGTGAGCAGGCCTAGTCTGGGGGTTCTACAGCAACTCCTGCAACCATTTTTGGGGTATTCACTAATAAGAATGTTCATTGTAATCATGTTGTAGCTGACAGTTTGCTGTAACTTTGATTTCTATAATGAAAGAATGGCAAATCAAAATGGTGGGATACAAACATGGAATTTTACATAGCATTAACCCACACTTTATATGTCCCTAGAGCAACATGCATACACATTTAAAAACACAGCATTGAGTAAATCATAAGCAGATACCATTATGTAAGTTGAAGACATACATGTAACTACATTACATACCTTTCAAGCAAATATGTAGGCATATAGACATTTAAAAAAAAAGGAATGGGTACCTATGAGCAGGGAAGAGAGTGAGCAGGTGGATTGAGGGGAAAATACTAAACATGAAAGAAACAACAAAACAAAGAAACCTTTCACTGACAAAGTTAATGGTGTTATGAATTAAGGACTGTCTTTCCGTCAACTCTGCTCCGGGGGTAAAAAGGCAGGCAGAAGGGTGGGCAGACAGGACAGGCAGGCAAACAGCGAGCTGCTGGGCTGGGAAGCTGCCTTCTACCTTGTATCCTTTCTCAGCCAAGCTCCACTCCAACAATCCTCATTTCCTTCCCAATACTGACTTTGGATGACATGGAAATTAAGTGAACAAAGAGTGGGTCAGCAATAGAAACAGACTTTGGAAAGTCAGACAGGGAAGATGTAAGTCACATGATGCTTTTTCTGGGTGTCTTTTTTAAATCAACAAGGATCTTAGCATACCAAATGTTAACTGTGGCCTTAAGGCTATTATGCACCTTCAAAAACAAGTGTATAGCCACCCTCTATGAAGCTAACCTCTCTCCTGAGAGATCTGATATATTCAGTGACTAGTGTTCATTCAGTAAACTAATTCAATTGTGGAGTAATAAGATTTAATATTTGGAGTAATAAGCTGAATTATATACTAAGCTGAGAATACTGTCTTCAAAACCTGGCATTAAACAAAACGGAAAAAGAAAACCAGATGACATAAAATGCTTAATTTTTCATTTCTAAAACCGAAAAATGATGAAGTTACACATTGTACATCTCTCTCCATAATTTATGTGCATATCAGCCTGGAAGACTTACTGGATACCTATTACGTTCAAGTCTGTGCCATAGGTGAGAAAGGAACCATAAATGAAGTAGACACAGTAGTTCCCACATGGCACAATGCTTTTAAAAAGAAATACATCAAAACAAAGACAAATAACAGCAGGGTATCAGGGATTTGATTACTTGACAAAATAAATGTTTACATACTGAAGGGTGAAAAAAAAAAAAGAGAGAGAGAGAGACAAGACAGGAGTCAAATAGGGTCAGTCATTGAGGGGAATAAGAGACCCAGAAGAGCAGAGAGGCAAAGTGGTACCAGGAAAAAAGATGAACACATGCACTCAACAGATGGAGAACAAAAAACCATTAAACAGGGTGACTACAAAATTAGTTTGGCTTCATTTAGGGAAGTAACAAGACATAGGAGGGGGAAGCAGAAATGGGGAGGAGTTTAATGTTCACTTGTGTGGTATACATACTTGATATTGTAAAGCTTGGATCAGAGGGATATTTTAAGAGAAGAATGCTTGAGGGGAATTAATCTAGCATTTGAGTATAGTACCTAGTAGAGAGAGAAACTGGGCCTGGAGAACCAGCCAAAAGACTAAACAGTAATTGAGCTTTGAAATGCAAGGGGTGATAGCTATAGCTATAAAAAAAGGGTAAGTTCAAGGGTTGTTACCATGTAATTGGCAGCAGCATTTAATAGATGACAGAATATAGAGCTGATGGGGGAGCAGTCAGGAAATTCTAAGAGGAAGTATTAGAAGTACTAACAGATATGATGAATGAACTGGAAGAGCTTAGAGTAAGAGAAGACAGAGGTCACAGTATCCGCACACTATATTCTATTTCTCTTAATACTCTATGGGTAGAAGACAGAGAAAATTTTTATCATGCTGCAGTTAGGGTTGGGAAGAAAACAAACTCTAAGCTACCTAAGAGACAAAATAAAGTTGAGTGAATTATTTCCAATACCAAAAAAGCTGGATGAATAAATGTACTTCAGTGCAAAAAGAGGAAGAAAAGAAAAATGAGTTGGCTAAAGTCAACCAGAAGTAAGCCAGTATCATAAAAGTCAGAGGAGGAAGAATTTAAAGCAACTGAGTGATGGCATTCCCTGTTTAGACACAAATACTCTCAATAGAGGGCTGTCAAGAAAAATTCTGAATGTCTACTTGTTTAGACAACAACAAAAACCAACATACTGTAGCCCTTCCTTATCTATAGTATTTCTTTCTGTGATTTCCATTACCTATATTTGGACTGCAGTCCGAATATATTAAATATATTTCCATTACCTATATTTGGACTGCAGTCCAAATATATTAAATGGAAAATTCCAGAAATAGTACAAAAGTTTTTTTTTTCTTTTTTTTTTTTACAGGCAGAGTTAG